AAATGTGATCAGCGGCACGAGCCAGCGCCCGTTGCATGATACCCAGAAAACCGCCCTGCTTCTGTCCAACTAACGCATAGGAGTTGTCACAGTGCAGAATGACCACATCAATAGGCGAGGTGTGATTCGCCACACAAATTCCACCACCACGAGCCTTATTCTCCGGATTGTGGTAGGTGATCACGCCGGAAAAGCCACGCGAGCACATGCGAAAGCACATGATACTGACCGAGTAGTAGACCCACTTCTTGATTGGACCTGGACAACGTCAACGACAAAAAATGTTATGAAATTAAGGTCAATGAAACACAGACGCGGTTGCTACACTTACCCTCCGGAAAGATGAGTCCAATCAGACCGGTGATGGCAATGAGGAAGAGGACGCCGACAATGGTGATGATGGCGCGAAAGGGAAATAGGATAAAGTAGCGGAAGAAGGCACCCGTCAGCCAGATGGCCGCCAGTCGCAGGGACTTGTAGTGGTAGAACTTGTCCGTTCGCGTCAGCAGATTCCACGTTTGCAGCTCCTTCGCGGCAAAGCGTTTCGTCACCTGGTCGTCGACGATCGACTGAATGCCAGCACGGGCAAAGTCAGAGACGGCAAAAAGGTCTAGTTCGTGCTTCTGCTCGCCCAGGCCGAGACTGGCCGACCGAGTTCGTCCTTGGTAGGTGCTCGCCTGAACTGTTGAGTGTGGGTTCGATTTAGGATGAGCAATGAGAAAGGGTTTTCACTAGCACAGTCACTTACTGTTGTTTCGATCGTACTCCAGCTCCTCTCCGTAGGCGCTGTCCGTTTCTGATTCAGACTCAATCTCCACATCATCGGGCTCTGGCTTGGAGATGGCTTGGCCCTCTTTGATCAGACTGAGTTTTCTTTTTTGCTCCCTCGACTGTTGCATTCGCTCGTTGACTTTTTTCACGCGACGGTTGCCGTACTCAAAAAGCTGCAACAGCTTTGTGACGTAGAACTGGTGAATGAAGAACTTGTGGCCGACGGAGGCAAGGCCGAGGTAGGAAAAGAGGGCCACAAGGAAGGTGGTTGTGATGATCATTTTTGCAGGTGAGTTTGGTGGTAGGGTTAGGTGAGGTATGAGAAGGTTTGGTGGTCAAGCACACGAGGTCATAGACTCGTTTTGTACACAAGAGTTGTTTGGGTGGTGAGCTCGCAGATGAGCTCAGCTGAGGACTCAGACAGTCTGGTGGCGTTGGTGGTAGAAGGCTGGTGGCACGAGTACTCGACCAGATCGTCTTCAAGTGAACATTGAAGCACTGGGCACACTGAAAAGCTGAAGAGAAAGAGAAGACTCTCTGCTTGTGGCGTGATGTGAGCACTACCACTTCACGGGCACATTCGCACACTGTTTATGTTTGTACGGTGTCCTGTGTTGCCTTCTCAGAGCTGGTTGGGCTGGTGCTGCTGCTGCTGGTGATAAGAGATAAGGCCACAGAGGAGACGATAAGAGCCGCTTT